CTTTAGGAATAGACACACTGAAGTCTTAAATCCCAGCATATCTCACTAGTGTTAAATGGAACAATTTACAGGAAAAGTGCTGGTAGTGATTCACCAAACTGCTGTAATATGTTCTCCTTGTGAAACAAAAATTGGCCCAGTACATGTGAATTTACTTTACACTTAACTAAATTAAATGGGACAAGAATACCATTCAGACACTTAGTCTAAAATTTTGTTTGCCAAGTCACCACATTTGCAGACAATTACTAATACAAAATTGACATGATGCTGCCAGCTAAAGCACAGTCAAATGTATCTTAAGCAATTATATGAAAAGCTACTTTTAACCATAGAAAATTTTATTTGGACCTCTTTAAATATAAATGCATTGAATTTTACAATTCTCTATTAAAAATTAATAGCAGTCTAACTTTATACAGAAGTTCAAGCAGAGAACATTGATTGTTCGACAACCACACAGTAAAAGAATGGCTGAGCTGGGATTAAAAACAAACCAAAAATGTTTCTGCAATCCAAAAATTCACAATGACACCAAGTTCAACTTTCAAAGGTCAAACCAACACTGCCAAGTAACAAGAAGAAGGGGCATTTACATGTTCAGTAAGAACAAGCGGCATAGGCTAGTGTCCTAGCCTCTCCTTCTCATTTCTTACTTATACAGACATTTTTATTCCAGCCTACTATTTATTCCCTGCCCATCAGGCTACTGCAATCTGTTCAGCTACTTAGAAGGGATTTTAAAAAATTAGGCTACAGGTGATTACTTCAATGTTCCGACCAATATTTTCTCTCAATACTAGATTCTAATGTCCAAGGCCATATGCCCTGCTGGGCACACAATGTGTCTAATAACAGCACTTGTTTTCAGCCACTGCATAGCAAAGATCTAACTTTCAGAAAAGACTACCATCTAATCAAATTGCAGAGATACAGTTTTAAAGAAAAGGAGCTTTCTTTCAAAATCAGATTTGCATTTCTGGATGAGATCTTCCTATTAGAAGACAACAGCTAGACAGAAGATTCAACACCTCTGAAGCTCCCTATTGTTTGAAAAATACCACAGTGTTAATTCATAACTTTACAGGTCATGAGTGTGGGGCATTGAGAAAAACTGTGCTATGACTGTAAATTTTATGAAGTCTCATATCTCCAGCATACAGGCCAAAGGAATCTTCTTTTAATTTTAGGTAGATTTCAGTTAAGTTCTCTCTGTTAGTTGGCTTTTAGTGTTGTTATTGGGAGCTATTGTTCTGTTATAAAAAAAAAAAAAAAAAGTGCTGTCATGTAAAACTCTTAAGTTCCCACACTTTACAGTCATAACCTTTAAAACAGGCACAAGCAATATGACATAAGCATGATTTGACACCTTGTGAACAGGCTCCCCAAAGTGTATTGAGGCCACTGCTAGGGTAAGTGTTCTGTAATACTGTGTTGCAAAACAGAAGGCGGGAAGGGAGAGAGTACTAGGTAGGTGTATGCAAAAGGACTGAAGAATTGTGGTATTAATATATTTAAAAAAGCTGGAAAATTATTTGCTGATAATGACATTGACATAGCGTCCACTCTATTGAAGAAACTATTGATCTTTTCCTGCTGGGTTTTATCATACCACACACAAAGAAACTACAAACTGAAGACAAAATGGCACTGTGAAATCCACTGTTTAGATGCCAGTGCAGCAAATGCCATGTGTGATTGCTGTTGGCCATGTCCCATACAATATCCGCAAAGCTAAATGCTAGCACTGTGCATTGATGTTTTGCTAGTGTGGTTCCCATACATAGAAAGCCTGCTCAACTTACGTCTGCTAAATTAATGCAGGCCCAAAGTCTGTATGGGATGTGCCACCATAAGAGGTAGTGTTGATGGAGCAAGGATTAGAGCAGTCTGCTCTGATTTCCTGATTATTCATCAAGGGGCCTGCTATAGTCATTCAGTATCTTTGTAATAGTAATTCTTTTTCATAGTAAATTGAAGGCCAATGAAATTGTACTGCTCTAATTATTAAGTGATTTAATAGTACTTGGGGAACTTTCTTGCTGTATAGTGGACCAAGTCCTTCATTTAGCCTGTGGACTTCTGTTTTAGCTACAGTCACAAATGTTGGTCAAAATAACTGCTTCAGGGTTTGGAATAAGGAGGCTGTACACTATTTTGGTTTCCTAATGCTTTTTGTCTTGAGAAACTTAAAAACCCTTATTCATAAACTTGGATACATTTCAAAGCTTGTCTAAATGCATAGTATACTGGAGATGTGGCAGTGCAAACCTAGTAATTCAAGTAGGGTGAGTTTCCCTGTTAGGGAAAACAAAAAAAGCCACATTTTAAAAACTTAATAGCAGTGGTGAAATTGCCTTCAGTAACACTGTTTTGGATTTTTCTTGCTTTCCACTGGCTCTTCAGCATGCACTTTAGGGTAACTATTTATGCAAAGGACTTGGCTCCATAGGCGTTATCTGCTCTTCCTCTCTTAGAACTGTTCACTGCGTAAGCAGCTCATGAAATTTCTAAATCCCACTCCGTTTGCAGCACGTGACAGGACAATAGCAAGCCTGGAGGAAGAGGCACTTATGCAAGGCTCTGTGGCAGACCAGCTGCAAAGTCATTTCAGGATACTGAAGCCTGCTGAGGACCACAGCAAAGGTCAGGTCCAGATTTCTTTCCATGACATATCTGTTGGTTTTGTTCCTACAGTTCCCATACCTGTTCGAGCTTCTCGTACTTCCCATTCCTATGTTGCATCTTCTTTCCTAGGACATGACCAATTCAGAGAAAACAGCTAGCATATCAGGAAAGCTGGGCTTTGGCTAGGTACAAGTCTGTCAAAGACATCTGTATACAAAGCAGGCAGGCCAGCAAGCTGAGTAAGAAATAAGGGGGCTAGGAAAGACAAGGAAGATGGGAGAATCCTGCTGGAGCCCCAGGAAATACCCATGTAAAAGAATCCACGTTGAAAGTATGAAGTCTGAATCATATCTCAATGAGTCTCACTGAGGTGAATGTTGGGGGAACCGCACAAACACACGGAGGGGCTTTTACTAGGAATTTTCCCCCAGTCTGTCTAGGGACCCTAATATTATCAGGGCACACAAAAGTTGACCTATTCACTTACACCAACATGAAAACCTTTCTCAATAATACACCAAAAAATGTGAACTGTAATGAGGAACAAACCGTTTTCTTAAAATGTTCAGAGGGAGGGGCAGGTGAAGGGGGAAAGAAAAAATAGCTATCAAAAGATAACAGACTCAGTGGGTGGAAGCATTTACATGAATATCAAGGCCTTCAGACTGCCCCTAAATGCACTGTAATTAGATGAACACATTGCAGTAAGACACAGTTATAAGGGTATGTGTGGAATGACTGGAATTAAGTGGTTAAGTCTAATTTGTTTTGCAGACTCCTCCCAATTCTACAAAATATACTACCTTTGAAAAGAAAAAAAATAATAAACTGTGTAACATAGTGACTGTAAATTGAGAAGCACTGTTTGTTTGGTTTTGTTTTTTTTTTTAACATAGTTCTAGGCAGTAAAAATAGACTGACCTTCCAAAGCTGCAAGGCTGACCTTTACAGTGGGGTGCAGTTAATAACTTCGGTGGTGAGAGGCTTGGAGAAACTGTCCCAGGTATTCTGCAATATAAAGCAACTGCAAGGGCTGTCTGGTAACAGTATGCTTCAAAACAAGGGTGCTGGGGTTTGGTGGGTTTTTTTAAAACCACCTTACCTCTTGGTCAAAGACAGACCCCCGGAGCGTGCAGTCTTGTCCACGCACTATATATAGCACTTAAACCCTAGCTGACATCATGTTTTCCCTACCGCGCAGCCTACCAGGAAGGAGCCAG